CTTGGAAGCTCATTTGGCTGAAATCTCGTTGGTTTCTAAGGCGCCGCTGGACTCGGGCCTAATTATTTACATTCCGAGTTGGAAGTCAGGTGCATTCCAAACTCACTCATCCCCACACCAGCTTCATTACATGAAATATGAGTCCATTACACAAGACAGTTGGTACATAGGCTGCAGACTTCAGAAGTTCCTCGCGTGCAACTTGAGGCATGGATGTGGCACAGGAGTGAAGAACCTGAGTTAAAAAGCTGGGAAGTGTCTCACCTGAATCTCAACTCAGCCATATTCTGGGTAGACTTGTGCGTGCAAAGTGCCTTCTTACCTCACTATAGATGCTAATTTTCTGCTCTAAGCATTTCTCCTCTGCTGTAATCGCAACCGACTTATGACGAACCCAGCAAGGGGCTTTCAAGGCAAGCGAGAAGCAGAGGTGGTTGGCCATGGCCTTCCTCTGCAGAGCCTTCCTTGGTGGTCTCCCATCCAAGTCTTATGGCGGCCCCAGAGAGAGGCTTTCAAGGCAACTGAGAAGTAGAGGAGGTTTGCCATGGCCTTCCTCTGCAGAGCCTTCCTTGGTGGTCTCCTATCCAAGACTTATGGCGAGCCCAGCAAGGGACTTTCAAGGCAAGCGAGAAGCAGAGGTGGTTGGCCATGGCCTTCCTCTGCAGAGCCTTCCTTGGTGGTCTCCCATCCAAGACTTATGGCCACCCCAGCAAGGGGCTTTCAAGGCAAGTGAGAAGCAGAGGGGGTTGGCCATGGCCTTCCTCTGCAGAGCCTTCCTTGGTGGTCTCCCATCCAAGTCTTATGGCGGCCCCAGAGAGAGGCTTTCAAGGCAACTGAGAAGTAGAGGAGGTTTGCCATGGCCTTCCTCTGCAGAGCCTTCCTTGGTGGTCTCCCATCCAAGTCTTATGGCGACCTCAGCATTCAAGGCAAAGGAGGAGCATTGCCTTTACCTTTTTAACCAATGTAAGAGAATCCATCTAATGATTACCCCGTCACTACAACCACCATTTCATATTATCTTTCTAAGGCAGAATGAAAATTAGATAGCTGGGCAGATAGCACTGTTGACATGCATGGCACGTTGCCAAGTACCGGCCCCTGCCCTGGAAAGTGCCATCAAGTTGCAGAGAACCGATGGCAACCCCGTGGGGTTTTCAAGACAAGGGGTGCCATTGCCTGTCTCTGCGTAGCAAGCCTGGACATCTTTGGTGGTCCCCCATCCAAGGACTAACCACGACCAACCCTGCTTAGCTTCCGAGATCTGAGGAGGTCAGGCTAGCCTGGGCCATGCTGGTCAGGGCTCTGTCACCTTAAAGGTAAAGGTAAAGGTTCCCTTGCTCGAAAGCCAGTCGAGTCCGACTCTAGGGTTGCGGTGCTCATCTCTGTTTCAAAGCTGAAGAGCCAGCGCTGTCCGAAGACGTTTTCCGTGGTCATGTGGCCAGCATGACTAAACACCAAGGCGCACGGAACGCTGTTACCTTCCCACCAAAGTGGCACCTATTTATCTACTTGCAATTTCTTGCTTTCCAACTGCTAGGTTGGCAGGAGCTGGAACTAGAGCCGGGAGCCCACTCCATCATGCGGCACACTCAGGTCTCGAACTGCTGAACTACCGACGTTCCACAGCCTGCAGTTCAGCGTCTTAACCACTTGAGCCACCGCAGCTCCTTTCTGTCCCCTTAGGAGAGGTTTAATGAGTGGAAATTGGCTGCTGAAGCTTTCTGTGGCATAAAGTACAATAGTGTCACCTGATAATTCTTGAAGATCATAAGAACATAAGAGAGAAGCCAATGTTGGATCAGGCCAATGGCCCATCCGGTCCAACACTCTGTGTCACACAGTGGCCAAAAAAACCAGGTGCCATCAGGAGGTCCAGCAGTGGGGCCAGGACATTAGAGGCCCTCCCACTGTTGACCCCCCCCCCAAGAGCATCCCTTGCCCCAGACTGAGAGTTCCTATCTATACCTTGTGGCTAAGAGCCACCGATGGACCTCTGCTCCATATGTTTATCCATAAGAACATAAGAGAAGCCAATGCTGGATCAGGCCAATGGCCCATCTAGTCCTACACTCTGTGTCACACAGTGGCCAAAAATGCCAGGTGCCATCAGGAGGTCCAGCAGTGGGGCCAGGAGGACACTAGAAGCCCTCCCACTGTTGCCCCCCCCCAGGCACCAAGAATACAGAGCATCACTTGCCCCAGACCGAGAGTTCCTATCTATACCTTGTGGCTAAGAGCCACCGATGGACCTCTGCTCCCTATGCTTATCTAATTCCCTCTTGATCATGGAATCATAGAATCACAGAGCTGGAAGGGGCCATACAGGCCATCTAGTCCAACCCCCTGCTCAGTGCAGGATCAACCTAGAGCAGAGGTGTCAAACATGCAGCCCGGGGGCTGGATCAGGCCCCCCGGCGGGCTTCTATCAGGCCTGCAGTGGAACTAGCTGTCTTCTGCTTCTTCTTCCAGTTCTGCTGCTGCTGCATCATCGTAGGTTTGCAGCTTACAGATACACACCTCAACGGCATACTCAAGACTGCAACAGCACAGACATTTTGATGCCATAATTCAGAGCAAGAGGTGTCAGTGATCAGACACTGTTAAATGAACAAGATATTGCAAGAGTGCTAATGTTTTAAGCATGTTTTTATTTTAAGTAAAAAAAACCACCTTTGTCTCTGTGCCCTTTAATAAAGTTTATATCTCTGCTACCTGGCATTACTCCTGCCAACCGAGCAGTTCGAAAGCAAGAAATTGCAAGTAGATAAATAGGTACCACTTTGGTGGGAAGGTCACAGCGTTCCATGCGCCTTGGTGTTTAGTCATGCCGGCCACATGACCATGGAAACGTCTTCGGACAGTGCTGGCTCTTCGACTTTGAAACGGAGATGAGTACCGCAACCCTAGAGTCGGATTCGACTGGCTTTCGAGCAAGGGAAACCTTTACCTTTACCTTTTACCTATCATTACATGTTATGACACACATGGCTTGGCCCAACAAGGTCTCCTTTGTGTCGGATCCGGCCCCCTGGCCTAGAGCATCCCCAATAAGGGTTTGTCCAGCCGCTGCTTGAAGACTGCCGGGGAGGGTGAGCTCACCACCTCCCTGGGCAGCCGATTCCACTGTTGCATGACTCTGACTGCAAAAAAACTTTTCCCTAAGATCCAGCCGGTACCTTCCCGCCCTTAATTCAAACCCATCCTTGCGAGTCCTCTCCTCTGCTGTCCACAGGAACAGCTCCCTGCCCTCCTCTAAGTGACAGCCTTTCAAATACTTCAAGAGAGCCATCCTGTCCCTCCTCCACCTCCTCTTCTCCAGACTGAACATCCCCAAGTCCCTCAGCCTTTCCTCCTAGGGCTTGGTCTCCAGACCCTCCAAGATCAACCTATATTCAAGGAACAGCTAGAGGGATGAACTTAAAAGATGGCGACCCAAGTTATTGACCTTCTCGTGTTCAGCGAAAGGCCTTCTAGATCCAAAACGCTCCTAATCCCCAGGCAAACTTCAGCTTCTTCCCTGACATTTTAACCCTGCTTCAAGCCCCGATCCCTTGCACTGCTCTGCGACCCTCCTCCCCCAGTGTTAAGCCATACAGTGGCTCCTGCAGCGTCTCAGATTTCTGTTAATTGTTGCTTCCAGATCTGAGTCCCAGAAGTGCTTCCACTTCTACACCTCCACCCTCCCGAGCCATAGCCCTTACCTCACGCGTCTTGCCTCCTTTCCCGCGGGTTCCATAAGAGGAGAGCAAGAAGGCACGGGATGCTTTTTGGAGACAAGAAGAATGCACAGATCAACTCACGGGGCTGTGACACCAGGAAGAGGCCCATACGCCCTTCCACTGATGTGGAAGGTGACATAACACTGGGATATGGTCACGAAGCGCTGCACCTGCCTGTCCAAGCCAAGGGTGTTCCTCTCCCAGCTCAAGAGATGTCTCAATGTAATGACATGCATGAAGCAAAACAGGCCTCCGGATTGCCAAAGAGGGATTGTGGCAGACAAGTCGATTACAAATCGGGTTGCCAGCCTCCAGGTGAGCTAAAGGTAAAGGTAAAGGTTCCCTTGCTCAAAAGCCAGTCGAGTCCGACTCTAGGGTTGCGGTGCTCATCTCCGTTTCCAAGCCGAAGAGCCAGCGCTGTCCGAAGACGTTTCCGTGGTCATGTGGCCGGCATACTAAACACCAAGGCGCACGGAACGCTGTTACCTTCCCACCGAAGTGGTACCTATTTAGTAAAGGTTCCCTTGCTCGAAAGCCAGTCGAATCCGACTCTAGGGTTGCGGTGCTCATCTCCGTTTCAAAGCCGAAGAGCGAGCACTGTCCGAAGACGTTTCCGTGGTCATGTGGCCGGCATGACTAAACACCAAGGCGCACGGAACGCTGTTACCTTCCCACCGAAGTGGTACCTATTTATCTACTTGCAGTTCCTTGCTTTCGAACTGCTAGGTTGGCAGGAGCTGGAACTAGAGATGGGAGCTCACTCCATCATGCGGCACCCGGGTCTCGAACTGCTGAACTACTGACCTTCCACAGCCTGCAGTTCAGCTTCTTAACCACTTGAGCCACCGCAGCTCCTTCCAGGTGGCTTAAACAAAGCCAAAAAGCAAGCATGGAAAAAGAACAATGAAAACATTAAATGATATTCAATGTCTAATTAAAGGAAAGAATTCCATATATATTAAAGTTCATATAAATTCACGTATTCCATTCATTCCTATATACTATAGTATCAAACCTTCCGAGAAACGCTTTTACAATCGGTGAATTACTTTCAAATCCAGGTTATAAAGCCAAGAAAGTGCATGGTGCCATAAAGGAAAGGCAGCAATGCGCGTTAAGCCTTATTCCGAACAATTATTCGCCAGGAAGTTACTGGAGAGGGACAGTGCAATAAATTTAATTGTTCTTCAAATATCTTGACAACCTTCAAGGGCAGGGCTGTTCGGTTCTCTAACGAAGCCTGCCAGAACATGGTCCTACATACCCATATCGAGCCACATCATGCAACGATCATCCAGAAATGGTCATGAAATGAATTCATACGGGCACATAATTCAAGTCGTCCAAGATGCAAAGATAACACACCCTTCGTAATACAGGCACAGCAATTAATGGCATTAATGCCTCTATTAAGAAGGGTGTGGTATCTTTTTGAATTAATAGTAGGGATGGGGCGATTAATATACTTTATTTATACATATACATATATATGCATACATACATGCATACATACATACATACACACACATATATATATATACATACATAGAATCATAGAATGTTAGAGTTGGAAGGGACCTTGCAGGTCATCTAGTCCAGCCCCCTGCACTCTGCAGGAGCATAGCCGAAAGATAGCCCTACATACCTACAACATACCCAAAAGATGGTCGTCCAGCCTCCGCTTGAAAACCTCCAACAAAGGAGAATCCACCACCTCCCGAGGCAGTCTGTTCCACTGCTCAATCACTCTTACAGTCAGGAAGTTTCTCCTGATATTTAGCCGGTATTGATTCCAATGCTCCCTCTAAGCTGTGGAGTCTTGTGAGCAAAAATCCTACTTTGTGAGCTACTAGCATTAAAGTTGTGAGCGAGAGATTTGGCTACTGCATAAATCAGTTTGTTCTGGAGCCCTCCTTCCTGAGCTGAGACAAAACTGTATGAGCCGGAGGCTAAAAAACTGTGAGCTCGCTCACACTAACTCAGCTTAGAGGGAACACTGACTCCCTTGTAATTTCCACCCATTAGAGCTAGTCTTGCAATCCGGAGCAAGAGAGAATAGACCTGCTCAATCTTCTACCTGACAGCCCTTCAGATACTTGAAGACTGCAATCATGTCCCCTCGAAGCCTTCTCTTTCCCAGGCTGAACATACCCAACTCTTTCAGCCTTTCCTCATAAGACGAGCGGAACTACCACCTCCCGTGATCTGGACACAAGGCTTCTGTTAATGCATCCTAAGACTGCATTCGCTTTCTTCGCAGCCACATTGCATTGCAGGCTCATGTTTAGCTTGTGATCAACCAGAACACCCAGATCCCTTTCACATCTGCTGCTGTCAAGCCAAGTATATGTATATGTATAGGAATGAATGGCATACATGTATCTGTATGGACATTAATATATATGGAATTCTTTACATGAATTAGACATTGAATATCATTGAATGTTTTCATTGTTAATTTTTCACAGTTGCTTTTTGACTTTGTTTAGTCGTCTTTCCATGATTCCGTCTGCACTGCAACCTCCGGGTGGGACCTGGAGATTTCTCACCATTACAACTGATCTTCAGAGAACAGAGAACACTTTCCCTGGAGAAAACGGCTGCTTCGGAGGGTGGACTCTATGGCACTGTACCCTGATGTTGTCCTTCCCCTCCACAAGCCCCTCCCTCCCAGGGCTCCACCCCCCAAATCTCCAGGAATCTCCCAACCCAGAGCTGGCAACCCTGGTTACAAAGCACATCTACAGTGTCTGAAAGAACAATCCCCCTCTAGCCCTCTAAGTCTTTAAACAAATTATGTATACATTTGGAGGTGGTATTTACAACCCCTATGCTTGGAGTTTCACTCTATGACACAACACTCTACATCAGGAACAATCCCTGTTTTCGGATGCCTCACTCCTAGATTTAGGGGAAGAGACTGAGGATACGTTTTAAAAAAATTGTTAATGCACCCTAGGACTGGAGAGATCTCAGCCCCTTCTCCCAGATCTTTAAGCGAGGAGGAGAGTTTGGATTTACACTCTGCCTTTCAGTACCCAAAGAAGTCTCAGAGCGGCTCACAATCTCCGTTCCCTCCCCCTCCCCACAACAGACACCCTGTGAGGTAGGTGGGGCTGAGAGAGCTCTTTCGAGGACTGCCCATGAGAGAACAGCTCTGAGAGAACTTGTGACTGACCCACGGTCACTCCAGCAGCTGCATGTGGAGGAGTAGGGAATCAAACCCGGTTCTCCCAGATGAGAGTCTGCACTCCTCCTCACCACTACACCAAACTGGCGTCCCAACTTTGTTGCAAGTGTAAATCAGGGGTCCCCAACCTTTGTGTCTGCAAGCACCTTTGGCATTTTGACACAGGGTGGCGGTGCACGCAGCCACAAAATGGCCGCTGCAGGAGGCGGAGCCAACCACAGAACGGCTGCCATCGCTCACCCTCAGTCACACAGTGAAGATCCTTGTGCTGTGGCAGCGGCTTTTGCCCAAGCAATGTTTTGAAAGGTCCGCACAGTCAATCATATCTCCAACAGCCAATCAGAAGCCTTGCTGGGCAAAAACTCCACCAGGTCCCACCCACTTACTAAAAACACCTTCATGGGTGTTGTGACACTAAGGGGTGGGGCTGCCACCTCTGGGTTGGGAAATACCTGGAGATTTGGGGGGTACAGGCTGAGGGAGGGTGGAGTTTGGGAAGGGGAGGGATTTCAATGGGGTATAATACCAAGGCAATCATTTTCTCCAGGTGAACAGATCTCTGTTGCCTGGGAATCAGTTGGAAGAGCAGGAGATCTCCAGCCACCACCTGGAGGCTGCAAGAGAAGAGGAGGAGGAGGAGGAGATTGGATTTATACCCCAGCCTTCACTACCCGAAGGAGTCTCAGAGCAGCTTACAAACGCCTTTCCCTTCCCCCTCCCCACAACAGACACCCTGTGAGGTAGGCGGGGCTGAGAGAGCTCTTACAGAAACTGCTCTTTTTCAAGAACAGCTCTTATCAGAACTACGGCTTGTCCAAGGTCATCCAGCAGGTGCAAGTGGAGGAGCGGGGAATCAAACCCAGTTCTCCCAGATTAGAAGAGAAGAAGAAGAGATTGGATTTATACCCCGCCCTTCACTACCCAAAGGTGTCTTAGAGCGGCTTACAAACTCCTTTCCCTTCCCCTCCCCCAACAGACATCCTGTGAGGTAGGTGGGGCTGAGAGAGCTCTCTCAAGGACTGCCCTTGAGAGAACAGCTCTGAAAGAACTTGGCACTGACCCAAGGTCACACCGGCAGCTGCATGTGGAAGAGTGGGGAATCAAACCCAGTCCTCCCAGATTAGAGTCCACGTGCTTAACCACTGCACCAAACTGGCTCTCAAAAAACAAAAAACAACCGTGATACTATTTTGCAATCTATTCAATAATTATTATCAAGCATTTACATTATGGTACAAAATTACAAAACCCACCCCACTACAAAACATACAGATATTTAAAGCGTCCTTGTACACCAACCTGTCCGTGCTCAAAGTTCCTCTGAATAATACAGCTCAAAGTGGCTTAACAGAGTCCTTCTTTGATGTAGAAATAAATTGTCCCCAATATCTGATCAACTGTCGTGGCTAAAGGCCAGTTCCACACCCGTGTCCGGTCCTTCATCAAGGTACCGTGGCAGTCAAGAAAGTTTTTTTTCTTCTCTGCTTACTCAGTCGGTTTTGAAGAGTGTTTTACACTGCAGACCTTGAAATCTATGTTCTCGTTCAGCTTAATGCAACATTAGTGCAACATGATTCAAAGGAACTTTAGAACAGACAGTCTGGTTTACAAGGACACTTTAAATATTTGTCTGTTTTGTATTGGAATGTGTTTTGTAATTTGTACCGTAATATAAATGCTTGATGATAATTACTGAGAGCCAGTTTGGTGTAGTGGTTAGGAGCACGGACTCTAATCTGGGAGAGCCGGGTTTGATACCCCACTCCTCCACATGCAGCTGCCGGTGTGACCTTGGGTCAGTGCCAAGTTCTTTCAGAGCTGTTCTCTCAAGGGCAGTCCTTGAGAGAGCTCTCTCAGCCCCA